GAAACATCGTTGATGGGTCCTGGGTTTACACTGGTCCTCCTCCTCCTCCTCCTCCTCTTCCTCCTTCTCCTCCCCTTCCTCCTCCCCCTGCTCCTTTCGTTCCTTCTCATCGTACCTCGCGTCCGCCTCCTCCTCCTCCTCCTCATCCGTCTCCACCCTTTCTCACTTTCCTTCTCCTCTTACCTCGCCTCCGCCTCCTCCTCCTCCCCATCCTCCTTTCTTTCCTTCTCCTCTTACCTCGCCTTCGCCTCCTCCTCTTCCCCGTTCCCCACCCGCCTCCTCCCGCCCTCCGCGCTCTCCACCTATCCTGCTCCCATCTCCCTCTCGGTTTCCCCCCCCCCTCACAAAAAAAGTGATTCCTCGTCGTCGTCGCACCAACAGGCGCGTCGGTGGCGCAGGCTGGACGATTCGCCTGGGACTTCCTCACAGCGTGTATAAAATGTGGTTCTCGCTCGGGCGCCGCGCGCAGTCGTCCTACAAGTCTACGCGAACTGCGGTTTCCTCTTGGGACATATCTGCATTTTGGGTCCAATCTTTTTTCTAATCGGGTTCCCCCTCGATTATTTATGCATGCCGATTCTACGCCAGGCAGGTTCATCATTCGATATTTTCTGATGGATTCTCCAACCCCTCCAGGCTCCGGGAAGGAAAACACATGAAACCCCCTTACCCGAGCGTTTTTTAACTGTTTTGTTTTATCAGGTTCTCTGGCCACCCTCCAGGGAGGGACATCCTCCCTCTAAAAACCACTCGGGCTGTTTCCGTCTGTTTTTCGGAAAATCCCCGGCCACCCTCGGCTGACAACCCACGACAAACATTAAACAGGCCCGAATCAGTGTTTTTCATCGGTTTCCCCCGCGCTGGAGCCTGAGGTGGCCAAATTGAACCGCTTTCCCAGTGGGGGCCTCTCTGTCACACTTCGACCTTACCCCCCAAGAGCGCATTTTTCATTCGCAGCCAAATGGGGCGTTATTGGCGTTATGGGGGGGGAAGGGGGGGCGGGACGGGAGGGGGCATAACGTAGCAGCCCCCCCAAGACTGTGGTGCCAGACGCACTGCGGCAGTGCCAGGGACGCACTAAGGAAGGGAGCCTTTCGCTATGGGGGGGAGCGTTGGAATGAGTACCAGTTTGTCTTCTCGAGCTGGTTGAAAAATGTACTAGCTGGTTGGGATGAGTCCCAATCGCCTGGAATTAGTGCCGCATGCGGGGGGGGGAGGGGGGGGGGGGCAGCGGGCATAACGCGCGTTATGGCCCAGAGGGCACTCCTCCTCCTCCTCCTCCTCCTCCCCCTCATCCTCCTCCCCCTCCTACTCCTCCTGCTGCTGCTCCTCCTCCTCCTCCTCCTGCTCCTCCTCCTACTCTCGTCCTGCTCCTGCTCTGCTCCTCCTCCTCCTCCTCCCTCCTCCTCGCTCCTCCTCCTCCTCCTCCTCCTCCTCCTCCATCCTCCTCCTCCACATCCTCCCCGGAGGCTGAGAAGTAGAAGGTGGATTGTCCTCCCTGTTCCCTCCTTCTCGTCTCCTCTTTCCTCGCCCTCCTCCTCCCCGCCTCCTCCTCCTCCTCCACCCCTCCTCCTCCTCCTCCTCCTCCTCCTCCTCTCCTCCTCCTCCTCCTCCTCCCGTTCCTCCTCCTGATCCTCCTTCACCTCCGCCCCTTCTCCTCCTCCTCCTGCTCCTCCTCTCCTCCTCTCCCTCCTCCTCCACCTCCGGCATCCTCCTCCTTGATCCTCCTCATCCTCTCCTCCACTTCCTCCCCTGAGGAGGGAGAAGGGGAGGGTGTCCCCCCATTCCTCTCGTTCCTCCCCCCTCCTCCTCCTCCCTCCTCCTCCTCCCTCTTTCTGCTCCTTCTCCACTCCTCCTCCACCTCTCCTCTCCTCCTCGTCCACCGTCCTCCTCCTCCTCCTCCTCCTTCTCCTCCTCCTCCTCCTCCTCCTCATCCTCCTCCTCCCCTCCGCCTCCTCTTCCTCTCCTCCTGCTCCTCCACCTCCTCCTCCTCCTCATCCGCCCATTCCTCCTCCTGCTCCTCCTCCACTCGCCCCTCCTGCTCCTCCTGCTGCTGCTCTCCTCCTGCCTGCTGCTCCTCCTCCTCCTGCTGCTGCTCTCCTCCTCTTTTGCTTCCTCTCCTCCTCCTCCTCCTCCTCCTTCCTCCTCATGTCCTCCTCCTCATGTCCTCTCCTCCTCCTCCTCCTCCTCCTCCTCCTCCTCCTCCCGTTCCTCCTCCTCCACCTCCTCCTCCTCCATCCTCCTCCATTTCCTCCCTGAGGGGGGGAGGAGAAGGGGGGGGGTGTCCTCCCTGTCATCCTTCTTCTCCTCCTCCTCCTCCTCCTCCTCCTCCTCCATCGCCTCCTCCTCCTCCTCATCCGCCCGTTCCTCCTCCTCCTGCTCCTCCTCACCTCCGCCCCTCCTGCTCCTCCTGCTGCTGCTCCTCCTCCCTGCTGGCTGCTCCTCCTCTTCCTCCTCCTCCTCCTCCTCTCCCTCCTCCTCTCCTCCTCCTCCTCCTCTTCCTCCTCCTCCTCCTCCTCCTCCTCCTCCTCCTCCTCCCCTTCACCCTCGATCTGACAAAAACAAAAAACTCGGAGGCGCTCCGTTCTTAACGATGGGCTCTCTGTCCTCCTCCTTTTCCTTATCCTTCGCGTCCTTCTCCTCCTCCATCTCCATCGCCTCTTCCTCCTCCTCCTCCTCCTCCTCCTTCTCCTCCTCCTCCTACCCCATCACTTTCCAAAGCACCTCCCTGTTCCCTTTCATCCCATTCCCCTCCAAGCAACAGCCCCTTCACCACGGACGAATTCTATCTCAGCAAATGGCAACAGGGCTTCTACCAGACCCTCGACTTCAAGGATGTGTCACTGTCGGCCGTGCAGGACCCGGCGATTGCCCTGCATGGGCGGGGCGAGAGGGGCAGGGGGCCGAACACCCGAACCCCCCCAAGCCGACATCCCACGAATCTTGGGGCCCGCAGGGGTCGGGGAGAGCGGAGCAGCACCGAGGGGCTGTGCCCCCCCAACCCCTCTTGGGGATCAGCCGCGGGCCAGGGCTGCCACCCCGCCTGGCCCACCGACCCCGCTCGTGCCCGGAGGCAGGCGGGCATGCCCCGAACCCCCCGCCCCGCATGCCGATGCGGAAGGCATGTTCAAGCCAGAATCAACAACTCTTCGATGCGCCGCCCCACCCCCGGGCCTTCCCCCAGGACCAGCCCTTCACCCCGCACCGTTCTCTAATCTAACCCTGGAGCTCGTGGAGGGGATCTGGAGCCCGATAGCGGCCAAAAGCCTTAGGATTCGTTGCCCTCGAGACCCCTTTCACTCATGGCGACGCCTCAAACATTTCCCTACGACGCCCAAGGTCAAGGTCCCCTGAATCCGGACACGCTAGACCAGGACATCCAACATCACTCGAAACCATTGTTGTTCCAGACGGCGGCACGATAAACAACTCCACTGCAACGTTCCCTAAATAAGCCAAGACAAAAGCTCTGAAAGCCTGCTCCCCCCCTGGTCCCGGACAGTGTGCCGAATACTGCGGCGCGGCCGACAAGAATCCACTGGACGACCAACTCTGACTTTGCAGGGACGGGTGCCGCTTCCCTGACCTGCCGACGTCCTGGCTGGTCTCTGTCCTGGTCGGCCTCAGGGGGCCTGGAAAGGTAAGGGCACGGGGTGGCCCGGCCAGGAGCGCTCCGCCTCGCCGCGCGCGGCCTTCTCTCTCTCTATCCTTTTTTTTTTGTCTCTCTCTCTCTCTCTCTCTCGACGATGACGACGACGACGACGACGACGACGACGACGACGACGACGACGACGACGACGACGACGACGACAAGGGCCTGGGACAGCATGGGCGCGGGCGGCCTGGCCCTCCCGGGGCCGAGCGCTCCTTGCCCTTGTCCTTGTCCTTGCCCTTGTCCTTCCCCTTGGCCGCCTTGCCGTCGCCCTTGCCGCCCTGCCGCCGGATGATGACGACGACGAGGATAAGGATGATGCTGATGATGCTGATGATGATGCTGATGATGATGCTGATGATGCTGCTGATGATGATGATGATGATGATGATGATGATGGTGATGGTGATGGTGATGGTGATGGTGATGGTGATGGTGGTGATGGTGATGGTGATGGTGATGATGACGACGATGAGGAGGAGGAGGATCGTGGAGGATCGAGGAGGTCGAGGCGGATCGAGGAGCATCGAGGAGTATCGAGGAGGATCGAGGATCGAGGAGGATCGAGGGGGATCGAGGGGGGGGGGGGCAGAGGTGGGGGAGGGCGCCTCGCGGCCTCCGGAGGCCGATGGGAGGGAGCGGAGAACGCTGCGCGGCGGAGGGAACGCATATCGTCTGAGGTCGGGGGCGGACGAAGCTGATGATGTAGAGGCTTATGTTGCTCCCGTCGTACTTAAGGACCACATCCCAGGAATCGAAACAGTGCCGAAACCGTGTCGGCCGAGTGTCTCCCAGGGCCCGACACGAGAAACCCATGGAGTGCTGGTACTTTTCTGGGGCTCGAACTGTTCTTCGCGATCAAGGCTAAAGTAGATCGGAACATGATAAGTAGAGGCCTCCTTGCTGGGGTCGGAATAGATGGGGTCGAAGGATCGCGCCGCATCAGCAACGCATCACCGTTGCATCGGCGACGCCGGCGTGGGGAAGCACGGCCTCCACATCGAGCCGCATCGTCGATGCATCGGCGATGCGACACGGTCCTCCGACCCCATCTACTCGGACCCTATTTCGGAGGCCTAGGTGATGAGGATGCAAGATTGGCGCGTGGCTTCAGTCGCTCAGAAGTAGAGGAAGAAGAAACAATAACAATAATATTAATAATAATAATAATAACAATAATAATAATAATAAAACCAATACATAATAATAAGAAGAATAAGAAAAACAAGAAGAAGGAACGGCACAAACATAAACCTTTGGCGCTCCGCGCGGGTTGCTTAGATCTGCGCCAGATCCCCCTCCCAGGGGCGGCGCCGGAAGCGCCGCCGGGGGGGGGGCCACAACGCGGATCCCGGAAATCCGCGCGGAACGCCGAAAGTTTATGTTCAGGGCGTTGTGCTGCTTCGAGGAACGGCGGTTGCACCTCTGCGCGGGCCACGCGTCTGGCCCCGAGTGCCTCCTCGTCGTCGCCGCCCCCCCGTGCACTCTCCTGCCCCATCTGCCCCAGGCTCTCCTGCTCCTCCTGCGCCCCCTGCTGCTGCTGTGCCTCCTCCTCTTCCTGCATATTCCCCTCGTGAAGATGAATCTTTGTGGGGAGCTGTCTGTTTTTTTCAATACGGGGTCCCTGGAAAACCCGACCCTTTCCCCAGGACCTGTTTTTCATCCTGAATCATTGGTTGACGGTCCTGAGGCCCGGCGACGGCCCCCGTGGCCGACAATAGCCAAAACCTCCCGTCCTGATTCTTGAAAGACGCGATCATGCCTGGGGTCTTGTCTCTCACCGACTGGAGGGAACACGCGAGACAGCACGAGACCCTTCCATAGACTTGCGGATGCCACGACAATGGACACCCTAACATTCCTATCATCGAATTAAGGATGTGTTTCAAATGACATGGTCTTTACATGCTTAAGACAGTTTAAACACATTTTCTAGACATCTGGAAATTATTTAGCAACATGCTTCCTCTCCGTTGATCGTCTCGGGCCGGGCGAAAGGGAGGGATGGCAATGGGGGCTTGAGAATCAGGTCACGTAGCTGACTTCCCGGGCGCCTCCCAGCGCCAGAAGGCGCCCATGCATCGAGGACTGGGCCCGGCGGCGGGGCCGAAACCAGCTGCATGCAGCAAATTTCGCACCCCCCCCCCCTTTCCCCATCCCCGCCTCTCGTTCGGCCCGCTCGCCCTCCACAACCATGGGCACCCCTGCCCCCCGGAGCGCAGCCGGAGGACCCGCGACGCGACACCGAGGGCGCAGGAGGTACTCGGGGGAGGCCACAGTCGAGCCCACAGCGGCTCTCCCGCCTGGCCCCCATACGCTCGAGATTGGTCCCCAGGCTCCTCGTCGTCCCCGTGGTCCTCGTCGTCCTCGTCGTCCTCGTCGTCGTCCTCAGTGGTCCTCGTCGTCCTCGTGGCCCTCGTCGTCCGCATCGTCCGCGTCGTCCGCGTCGTGGCCGTCGTCCTCGACGCCCTCCCGGGGTCCAGCCCTGCTTGTCGACGCACGCCCGGCCGTGGCTGCGAGGAGCCCCCCCCCCCGGGAGGCGCCACGCGGCAGGAAGCGCCCGGCAGGGCCGCCGCAAGTCTCGGGGCTGGCCCTCCTCTGACACAGGGGGCGCCCCTGCTCTAGGCAGGGGCCCTGGGACACACAGATGCACAGACACAACTCCCAGGATTCCCTATATATTTCCCATGCTCTCTCTCTCTCTCTGGATTTTCGTCTCCCCCCCCTTCCCATATTCCCCCCCATTTTCCGGGGGATCGGCGATGAACTGTGTCTGCATGTTCTTTCCCCCTCCTGAGACACAAGGGCGCCCCTGATTCATCAGGTCCGGATCGGCTCTGCTGCGTCTCCGCATCAATCCAAGAGCCCACGGAGGCAATCCCGGCGATCACCGACAAACCGGCGCGCCCCGCCAGCGAACCGCTGCAGAAGAGGAGGTCGAGGACACGGACGACGCCGGGGGCCCGGGGATCGTCTCGTCGTGGACAGAAACCACGACGGGATGTCTTCGGCCGTCTTCGGCCTCCAGGGGGCCTCACCAAGGAGTTCTGGAGAGGAAGAAAAGGAAGAAACAATAAGAGGAACACACTACCGGCTCAAAATGTTCCCTCCTCGCCCGATCCTGCCAACCGATGCCCTCCCCCGGGCCTGATTCGTCTTCAGGTATTCGAAGAAATCCATCTTCTTCGGCTTCTCGGGGGGCTTGTGCGACTTCAGGAGCTCCACAAGCTCCCCTTTCTCAGCGATGCCTGCGTGCAGCGCGAAGAAGAAACTGGAGGACGACAGGAAGATCGCAGAGGGCAGCAGCGAAAGGATAGCGGTCGAGCTCTGCAGATCGAAGCATACAAGATAAAAATCACAGGCTGCGTCGCTCATTCCCACCCGCCCTCCCGACACGAAAGCATCACCCGAAATTCGGCACGCGCAACGATCGCCATCCCATAGGCTTGGATGGCAACACGTGCAACCGAAACTATGATCAAGAAAACTATAGCTCAAGAGATCTGGGCCAGCTTCCTGGCGAGTTGGTTCAAAAACGCTGGGCCAGCTTCTCGGGAGGAGGTTTCTGAAGCAGATGCTCGACTGCATGGGCTCCATGTGCGCCAAGTGCAATCAGCGAGCCACGTTTGCCAGGTTCGCTGGGTGCGCCAAGTGCGCCAAGCGCGTCAGACACCACACGTTTCAGATGCCCTGGGAGCGCTGGGTATGCATGTGAGCCTGACGCGACAGGAGGACAAGCTGCGACAACTGTGACCGAGAAAAAGGAGGAGGAGCAAAGCAAAGTAAGCACAACTACGGGACCCAATGTCTGTCCCTACCAACCAGACAGAACAAATTTGGATCTAAATGGCTGCTGGAGCAAGCTTCCAATATATAGAGGGCCCTTTCGGTGGGGAAAACGCACTAGCCTGGAGACGGCCCCAGTGGAGGAAATCCCGCCAGCCCGTTTGGGCGTGAGTGGTTTAGCGAGTTTCCTCTTCAAAACCCCTTCTTCAGCTTTCAGGGAGCGGTTTATCATTGTTCCCATTGACAGCCACTCCCCCAGGCGACCGGCAGCCGACCAGGACCAATGAGGACCCCCCCACCAGCCCTGTCAAAAAACAATGTGAAATCCACTTTGGGGCAAAATCTTGGGTCATGACCGGGGGGGCGCGAACATGTTGTATTCTCTTTTGATAGGCGCAGGGTCAGCATCCATGTCAAAAAGCGGGTTGAACATGCACTTCGAGGCAAAATCAGCATCATGCGCGGGCACCCCGCGATCACTGTGCATTGGTTCTGGACTGGGGCGGCGGAGGTGCTGGCATATTGCCTGCTGTGTGCACCAGACACTATGATGGCCACCCCGCCGCGATTGCGCACTGGTTTTCAACAATGGTAGTGGGGGCCGACACATGTCCCGATGTGTACTGCCACGTGCGCAGGCGCACCTGGCACACTCTGCGCGTGCCCCGAACGTAGCGCACATGGCGCGTCTGGAGCATGCGGCACACATGGCGCACGTGGATCACGTGTTTCATCTGGCGCACCAGGCGTGCCTGGCACGCTTGGGCCACAGGGGCGCCTGGTGCACCTGGCGCGCGTGGCGCGCCTGGCACGCGTGGCGCACCTCTCCCCAGCGTTGCGCACATGGGGTCTGTTTTGGTTCCTATTTGCTGCCCATCCAAAGACGACCGCTGAACATGATGCGGCTCGGGTGCTACCTATGTATTGGCAGGGCGGGTGGGAGGGAGCGAGACGGTTTGCGGGCCGGGACGGACTACGGTTTTGGTCGAATTTTTGCTTCCTGGGGGGAGGGGTGCTAACTTACTGCGGCCCCTCCTCTGATCGATCTCCTCAGAAATGGCCCCACGATAGCCCCCGAGGCTCCCAGGGGTGCCCCAACCCGGCCCCAAGAGGCCCCCAAGAGGCCCCATTAGGCCCCCCCCCCCCAGAGGCACCCAAGAGGCCCCCCGGACTGCCAAGAGACCCCCAAGACGCTCCAACAGAACTCCAATGAGCTCTGGAAAAACATCCGAAGAGACTCCGAGAGGCATCCAAGAGGCCTCTGGCCTTTCTGCTCGCCATCCTCCTCCGACTCCTCCTCTTTCTCATCCGCCTGTTCCTCCTCATCCTTTCTCCCGTCTCTCCTCCCCCTCCTCCTCTCCCTCCTCCTCCTCCTCCTCCTCCTCCTCCTCCTCCTCCTCCTCCAGCTCCTTCTCCTCCTCCTCCTCCTCCTGCTCATCCTCCGATTCCTCCTCCATCCTCCCTCTTTATGGGGTATGACGTCTAATCGATCCCTTTCTTCCACTGCATGCTCCTCCACATCCCTGATCCGGGCAGATCGTCTGGGCATCGTTTCTGCATGGGCTGGTGCGGTTACGCGAAGCGTCTAGAACATGCAGTGGTCGACTCGACTCATGGCACCACCCCTCACCACATCATAACCCCAGGAGCAGGAGGAGAGAAAGGAGCATGACTCCAATGTAGCGTTTTGATGTCCTTGATACCAGGCATAACCCTGTACGTTTGAATCGAGCTTTTCGCTTCCTATCCTTCAGTACGTGCCCTGGGAAAATTTCAGTCATCAACCTCTTCGAGTCTGGCCGGAAGCCACGCCAGCACTGCAACGGTGGATGGCAAGCCTGGCTGGGCAGCCACATCTGTGAGGGGGCCGTGTTGGCCGTGAGGCTGTTACCGACGCCGAGCTTTCGGCTCGATGCCGAGGGCATCTCGCCTGGCATCGAGTGCGGCGAAGGCCAGGGCGCCGAGGCCGTCGAGAGAGCGGCACGGTGAGGGCGAGGAGGCGAGCGGCCCCAAAAGAGACCCCCCCCCACAGTGGCAGCAAAGCGAACCCACTGGGCTACAGCTGACTCCACCGGCCCAGTGCAGGCGTGCGGCGAAGGGTGGGGGAAAGCAGGGGGGCGGAGGGACAAAAAGGGGAGGGGTGAGCGAGGAAGGCTGAGAAGGGAGGAGGCCAGGGAGGAGGTCCTCCTCCTCCTCCTCCTCCACCTCCTCCTCCTCCTCCCCCTCCTCCTCCTCCTCCTCCTCCTCCTCCTCCACCTAGGCCCTCCCATCCTGTTTCTCCTGCTCTCCTCCTTCTCTCTTCCACCTCCTCTTCTCTCCTTCTCCTCGTCGTCCTCCCGATCCTCCTTCTCCTACTCATCTTCTCCTCGCGATTGTCGTCTTGTCTATCCTCTCCATCCTCACGCGCCTCTTTGTCCTCGTCCTCCTCGCCCATTTCATCCTCGTCCCCGTCCTCATCCTGCCTACTGGGATGGTGATGGCGAGATCTTCAAGCTTTTGCTTCAGCTCCTTCACGGAGAGCTTCGAGAAATCCTCCTCGGGCTCTCTGGTCCCTTCGGCTTCCTGCCAGCCACGCGGGCATCAAGCGCAATGCTCCGTCCTCCGTCTGCGCCCTCCTCGCGTTCTCCCTGGCTCCTCGTCGTCCTCCTCGTCGTCCTCCTCGTCGTCCTCCTCGTCGTCCTCCTCGTCGTCCTCCTCGTCGTCCCTCCTCCTCCTCCTCCTCCTCCTCCTCCTCCTCCTCCTCCTCCTCCTCCTCCTCCTCCTCCTCCTCCCCTCCTCCCTCCTCCTCCCCCTCCTCCTCCTCCTCCTCCTCCTCCTCCTCCCCCCCCCCCTCCTCCTCTTCTCCTCCTCCTCCTCCTCCTCCTCCTCCCCCTCCTCCTCCTCCTCCTCCTCCTCCTCCTCCTTCTCCTCCTTCTCCTCCTCCTCCTCCTCCTCCTCCTCCTCCTCCTCCTCCTCCTCCTCTCCCCGCGCTCCCCGCTCGTCCGCCGCCACTGCCGCCCGGGGGGGGGGGGGGGGGGCGCCATAGGGTCGGCGCGCTGGCCAACCCTGCAGGCGTTCGCGAGCAGTAGCTGCGGCGCCGACCGTGCGCGGAGGGCCCCCGTGTGGGCCCTGGGCTCAGAGCTCAGGTCGGGCACGCCCTCCTGCAGGCGGACCTTCGAGGATAGATAAAGCATACAGTCGGGGCGTTGACCTAAGGAACCCTAAATAAGGAACGAGGCCGCTTTTTCCCATCAGTTCAACCTCGATTTCCCATGGAAAACCCCAGGAAAACCCGGGGCAAACTCTGAAACAGTCAAGGAACACCGAGCCCCTCCCCAACGAAAAGGGTTCCTTCTTCAGGGCCCCGACTGCATTCTAACAGTGAGTTATAAAAGCATCCAGAAGCATCATCCAAAACATCGCCCCCAGACTAGATCTGTGTGGGGGGGGGGGAAAGAGGAGGGAGAAGAGAGGAGGGAGAGGAGGAGGACGAGGAGCGAAAGGAGAGGGAGGAGGAGGAGGAGGAGGAGGAGGAGGAGGAGGAGGACACGCCCTTAATTCACAGCGAACACGCGGTGAGCGCGCGCGCGCCGCCCCTGGCTCAGCGCGCCAGGAACGAGGGTCCGGCCCCCTGGCCCCGATCCAAGGGAGCCGCGCGGAGGAGGAGGAGGAGGAGGAGGAGGAGGAGGAGGGGAGGAGGAGGAGGAGGAGGAGGAGGAGGAGGAGGAGGAGGAGGTGGAGGAGGAGGAGGAGGCGGAGGAGGCGGAGGAGGAGGAGGAGGAAAGAGCCGCGCGGGCCTCCGAAAAAGCCTCCGTGCTCTGCCGGGGCTCCCCCCCTTCGACGCCGGAGGCCGGCCCAGCGTCTGCCTGCACGCCACGTGCGCAGGGACGCACCGGCGTCCCTCGAGGCTGGCACTCGATGCCTCCTAGATGGGGTCGAAGGATCGCGCCGCATCGCCAACGCATCGGCGATGCATCGGCGATGCATCGGCGATGCATCGGCGACGTCGGCGATGCATCGGCGACGTCGGCGTGGGGAAACACGGGCTCCACATCGAGCCGCATCGCCTGTGCATCGGCGATGCGGCGGGATCCTCCGACCCCGTCTGCTCGGACCCCATCTGGGAGCCTTGAGGGGCAACGATAGGGGGGGGGGACTGGCAGAGGGGGGATGCACCGACCTGGCATCGGCGATATACCTCGCCGACAGACCGGCGACAGGCCTCCCCTCGTGAGTCGGCACCTTCCTGGGCAGGCTGGGGCCATCGGGCCCCTCTCGGCGACCCGTGGGCGGTTGGGGGTCGATGCCTATTCCCCCCCCTACCCAGAGATCCGACGTCGTGATTTTTTCAACACAGGGTCCCCGGAGGTCTCGACCCATTCCCCAAGACTGGTCTTTCATCCTCAGTCGTTTCTTGACAGTCCCGGGGCCCGGCGAGGGCCCCTCGAGGCCGAAAATTGCGAAAAACCTCCGTCGCGATTTTTATTCAAATGCGTTGGACCCCTGAGTATGCCTGCCCCCCCCTTTCGGTGCCCCTGAGGCCTCGGGGCGCGGCGCCGAATGCAGCCCCACGGCGCCCAGCACCGGGGCCCCCGTGCGCTCTGGCCGGGGCTCACGGGCGGCGCCCGCCGTGCCCGGGGGGCCCGCCCTGCGCTGCTCGGGCCCGGCGGCCGGAGATATCCTGCCCTCCTCCTCTCGGGCCGTCCACTCGTGCAGCCCCCTCCTCCCTCCTCTCCCCCCTCCTCCCTCCTCTCCCTGCCTCTCCCCCCCCTCCTCTCCTCTCCTCTCCCTCCTCCCCCCCTCCTCCCCTCTGACCCCCCTCCTCCCGCCCTCCACAGTGTGGCACCATCTGCTGAATACTGCTCTCCTCTCTCCCCTGATGACGTCCGGAAGATATTCGCCCCCCCTCTCCGCGTACTGTTTTTTGCACACAGGATTCCCGGGAGTTGGGCTTTCGCGCGTTTTTTGTTTTGCTATCTATCTATATATACAAGATTTTAAGGCTCGCTGCGCTTCGCCTTCTAATCTTGATCCTTGCACCTACGATGTTTCTGGGCGCGGGCGAGAACACAATTGTTCAATGAGGTGTGTGGGAATTGTGCGAGCGGGGGCGAGGCGAGGCGAGTGCGCGGTAGCGCCCGGGGCGGGGCTCAGGGCGCAGAGTTGGTGGACGCTGGAGTGGAGGTGAAGGTGGAAAGTCGGATGCCGGACGCTAGAGGTCGGAGTGCTGAGCTGATGGAGGCTGGAAGTCTATAGGTGGAAGTCCCACCAGCCCTTTAGGGCTACGGTGGTATAACGAGTTTGGTTTTCTCTCTTCCCCTTCCTTCCCCTGCTCGGGGGAGGGGTAACCTTCCCCTGGACCTGGAGGGGGGGGGATGGAGGCGTTAGAGCGTCCAAGACGGCTCAAGATGGCTCCAAGAGGCGCTCCAAGTCGCAAGATGGCCTCCAAGATGGCCCAAGATACCTCAAGATGGGTCAATATAGCCTCCGACACACCTCCAAGAGTCCTCAAGACGGATCCAAGTGCCCTTCGAGCCCTCCACGGCGCCCTCCAAGAAGCCAGAACCCTTCAAAAGCTTAAGGAAAGTCCATGTGTTTGGCATTCTCGTCTTTTCGCTTCCGATGGGCCCCTGAAGCATCAAGATGGCCCCAATATGGCCCAAAAGAGCCCCAAGAGGGGCCCAAGAAGGCCCAAGACGGCCCCAAGATCGCCCAAGAGGCTTCCAAAGAGCGCTCCAACACGTCCCCAAGACGCCGTTTGAGAGCCTCCGAGGGGGGGACCTGAATTGAGGACCCCCGCTCTTTTTGAACAATGGGGCCCAAGACGGCCCCGAGAGGCCTCCCAGCCTCTCCTGAAGATTCTCCACCCCGCCCTTCTTGGCCCAAGATGGCTCCAAGAGAGCCCTAGATAGCCCAAGATGGCCTCCGAAATGGCCCAAGATAGCCAAGCATGGCTCAAGATAGCCTCCGACAGATCTCCAAGAGGCCTCAAGAAAGCCTGAATATGGCCCGACATAGCCGAGCATGGCTCAGAATAGCTTCTGACAGACTCTAGTCGAGCATGGCTCAGGATAGCCTCCAACAGGCCTCGGGAAAGCTGGCAATCAATTCTGGACGGGCTGGTGGGGATACTTTTTTGGTCGGCGGCTCCCTGGCGAAGGTCAAGAAGCGGGGCAACGTTCGGGGCGCAGAACGAAGATAATTGGCCGCAGTGGCGTATGCACATGCAAGGGACAAAATGACCCACATTAGACGCCAAAGACTGGCGCAGACATCCCGGCGGGTGGGGACGCCAAGGCGCGGCGACCGGTGGCGGGACGGCGGGGAGAAGTCGCCCTTTAGGCGCCAAGCTCCAGCCAGCCACAAGCGAGGACGCGTACAGCGCGACCAGGTGATCAAGGTGAGGATACTTTGTTTGGTTGGCGGCTCCCTGGCGAAGGTCAAGAAGCGGGGTAGCGTTCGGGGCGCGGAACGAAGATAATTGGCCGCAGAGGCGTATGCACATGCAAGGGACAAAATGACCCACATTAAGCGCCAGGAGACCGGCACAGACATCCCAGCGGGTGGGGACGCCAAGGCGCGGCGACCGGCGGCGGGACGGCGGGGAGAAGTCGCCGTTTCGGCGCCAAGCTCCAGCCAAACCACAAGCGACACAGGTGGCAAGAGAGGAGGAGAGGGCGAGCGTGAGCGACTAACTCAGACTCAAGGTGGGTATACGCGAAGCGTCAAGAATTGAGAGGAAAGTCGGCGGCCGCATGCTGGAGGACGGGATGCTGACCTGGTAGAGGCAGGGAGTCCCGCGAGCGAAGCGGCAACACGATATTGAATGAGAGATGTGGCCGGCGCCTCGGCGAGAGCACGGGGCCCAGTGAAAGCTGTCTTCTGTTTCCGCCGTTTGCCCTCCCCTCCTCCTGCTCCTCCTTGCCCTCCTTCCGTCTTCCTGGGGCCCCTCCTGTTTCTCGCTATCCTCACCGTTCCTTCCTCTTCCTCCTTTTTCTCCTCCGTCCCGCCTCCTGCTCCTTTTCCTTCTCTGCCACGCGGGCCCATTCGGCGCGCGGCCAGCCGAGCCAAGGACGACGGCTCAGGTCAATCAGAATGTAATGAATTTGACAGCTCTAAGACTGAGTGGAGCTCCTGTTGGCGCTTTTGTATACCATCGGAGGGCCTTCTTGGGCTGTCCTGGGGCCCTCGTGGGCTGTCTGGGGGGGCTTGGGCCGTCCTGGGGCCGTGTTGGGGCTCTCTCGGGCCCTCTCTGAAGCATCCCGTGGCTCTGTTGGGGCCCTCTTGGAGGTCTTTTAGGGGTCTTTTGGGCGCTCCCTGCCTTTCTTGGCGCTTTATTGGCCCATCTTGGGGCCCCATTGGGCCGCCTGGAGGCCATTTCGGGGCGACCTCGAAGCTCGCAGACCATTCTTGGGCCGTTCGTGGCCAGAAAAGGCGAGAAGCACAGAGTCGTTCAAAAACCAACGGAAAATTAAGGTTTTTGGCCTGCTGAGGCCGTATTGGAGGTCTTTGCGGGGGCATCCTGGGCCGTCTTGAGCCCATGTTTGGTCCTGTTGGAGCACTCTGGGGCCGTCTTGAGGCCT